TGTATAATCACCTAGACGCTCGGAGATCGGGAGCTCAAACCTGATTGTGAGGAACCAGCAGTCAATACACTATGGTCTGTCATCTGTATATCCTTGATCGTAGTGTTTGAGATATCATAAATCTAATTTCTTAACTTGTTATTGTACAATCACCTAGATGCCCGAAGATCGGGAGCTCAAACATGATTGTGAGGAACCAGCAGTCAATACACTATGGTATGTCGTCTATATATCCTTGGTTGTAGTGTTTGAGATATCATAAATCTAATTTATATTAAATCTACCAAACAATCCAACCTCTAACAAAAAATCCAAATCGAATTCTAGATGGTTTGAAGGATTGTTCTTATATCTCTCTTGCAATCGAGTGTTATATGTTTCTTGAAAAAAAAAAGAAAAAATTATCAACAAGTTTAAAAAAATACTATCTTAAGGAAAAACTCGAGTCATTAGTAGAAACACAAATTAGATATGTTCAAAGCATATCTATAAAGACAACACAAACTCTTAAGTTATTACTAGAAAAGTAAATATGTATTTTTATTTATGGTAAGGCTAACTTTGGGCTTTATGACGTATGACCCATTATAAATTCTATATTCTTGCGGTGAAAAAACAAAGGTTTATCCATTATATTTTTCATGTTGTCCTTTTTTTTCCTTTTACATCCATATTCTGTGTTAAAAATATTTTCAAACATGTTTTTTTAATATGTAAGACGTCTAAATTATAGTGGAGGAGATTAGTCTTCCAATAAGAAAGCTCCCAAAAAATACTTTGTTTAACCTAGTTGTATGTCACACCAAAACTAGAAAACTTATGCTTAGCAAATTGAAAATAAAACACAGTGCCTTGTACTACGAGACAACATCATACAATTATTCACCCAATGGTGCTGACTGTTCAACATTCATTTCAACTCCAGCTACAAAGAAGTCATTTTGTTCTTCATGTACCTGTGATCAGCTAGCAAGAATCTTCCATGGCAATCAAAAAAATATATTTTACCATCATTTATTAGGGTGAAGGCTTTGTTATTTTTCACATGGTATGAATAAGCTAGTTTTTCATGCATACTCCAACTAAAAACCATTTCATACACAGTAGTTGATAGTCCACATTAAAATCCATATTAAAATTACCTTCATCTGAAAATTTTATTTACTCAAGACACCATACGTTAAAATCCTGAAAGACTATAATTACTTCAACTTATCAATCAATAGTGAAAGACAAACATCTATATTCCTACCTGGACTATTAAAATTGGATGATTGTACATAAAAACATGAACTTTGGCCTCATATATATCCATAGTGGTAATTTGTAAGCCATGAGCATCACTAGCAATAAGAATATGGTGCAGCAAATGGATTCAATTTGTTTGTAAATAACCTTACACATACGTTTCGTGGTTCCATTAAAAATTGAGGATGTACTATATTAAACTACTTCTAAGTTTCACCATTAAAAAGGTGCATCATGACTCCATCAATCGCTTCATATGAATGATGTCATGTTATATGTTCAATAATTTTGAAGACATGAATAACCTTTACAGTTTAAGAGTAATTAGAAAGTATCTTATTTTTTTATAAGCAATAAGAGACTTTCTCTTGCTAGTTTTGGGTTTATACCAAATATGCCTACAAGTTCAACACTCAATTAAATCTACATTTTCTAAGAAGTATAATATGCAGAAATTTAAATATATGTCAATTTTTTGGTATTTTAGGCTAAAGTATTTCATCATGGATTTGATAGCATAAAAACTCTCTTTCATTCTAATCCTTTGAGGTAAAATTCTTCTTGTCTATTTAATGAATTTATCGTAATCAACCTAACTCAGTCTATAATTTGACTTAATGATGAACACATATACAATAACTGATAATTTACTATGATTTGTGCATACAACTCATAATGATATCTCAGAATATTTCAAAAGACCAAAAAAATAGTTGTGTCTGTATTTCGTTTCTCATCTACAATTAAACATTCATTTATATCACCTAGATTCATTCTCTTTACATTCATAATCATACTCTTATAACGATTACTATTATCATCCATAATTTCATACACATTGTTAGAGCTAAAAGTAAACATAATCATCTTTTCTATCATGATCTTGTAAGGAAAATATGGTTCTCTATGTGCAGATCAACACAAGTATTTCTCTAAGAAATTTTTTATAAAAGATGCATCATGACAACATTAAGACAAGAAACTTTTTATTTTTATACCTCTTACATGGACATTTAATATCGCATCCACTATTATTTTTTGGATTAAATTGCATGTAATTAATAAAATTATCAACTCCATTACAATAATTCATCTTGCGCTGCCTTTCGAGTGAAACCCAATACATCCAAGAACAATCATCTATTACTTATATAAAACCTATATAGAATATTGATGAAAACATGTATTAAGTAGTAATGTGAACTAAACAAATTGTTAGTGCCTACCTAATTAGCTATCATTGATTTAATTCAAACTTATTCAATCTATTTTAATAATACCCTTAAATCATTATTAATTTTCTAAAAAAATTCAAATTCCTCCAAATTTACCTAAATTTTCAACTTAACATAAAATTAACAAAATATAAAACGTATTCATTAAATAAGTTATTATTTATTTCATTATAAAACACTTAAGTTACAAAATCAAACTCTATTTCATCAAATGACAAACACATATAATTTTTCAAAATCTCGAAAAAACTTTTATATAACATGTACAAATTATACATTTATACAACAAATCTCTATGGAAAAAAGCTATAAAACAAGTAAACACACAAACAAACTATATATACTAAATCAAAATGCTAAAAATAACATTTTAACAATGAGTTTCAACAAAAAAAAAGGTGGTTTTTCTTATTTGATGTGGTGAATCTTCAAAAAAAAAAAAAACTTAACCAAAACAAGAATGCTAACAAATTAAGTGATAAAATATCTGAATTTGTGATCATAGTAGCTTGATTTGTAAAAAAATAAGAGGGTGTTGTGTGTTGTTTTTTGCTGAATAAAAAGGAAGAATAAGAAGAAATGGAGTGGGAAAGGGGGGTCATCTGTCAAGTTATAACTTAAATATTTTAGATAGATTCACCTACAAGTATTAACAAATGACATATTTTCCCAGTAATTTTATCTAATAATGATATATTATTTTTTTATTTTTTTATTTTTAATTGTAATTTTCTTAGTAGTCCCTGACAAAAATTTTCTATTAGTAACTGCCAAAGAAATGGTGAGATAATATTCTATTGGTAAATGTCATTGTAGTGTATTGATAAAATTGTTTCCCTTAGTATATTTTTGTTTGTATTTGATAGTTTTTTTAGTATTGTAATTAAAAATCAGGTTAGAAATATTTTTTTTATTTGATTTTTTTTCAAATAATCAAATATATGTCTGGTCAACTAGGTGATTTCATAATGCAATGTTATAGCGATGATTTAAGATTATGGTTGCCTCTCCCCGGATTGTATCTAGAGACACAGCGGGACATTATCATGACCCGGTGATCAGACATAACTAAAAAGACGTTTGAAGTTTAAGAAACATTTGTTGTTGTTTTTTAACCACTTTTGATTTTGTTGAAAAAAGAGGTGGAAAGATTCTAATAATCATCTCTTTTAATTTCCTGATACCGCGACACTCCTCTGTTGCTTCTTGGAGTTTACTTAAGAAATAGAGACATGATGAGGCATGCATGCCACCATTTTTTTTAAAAATGAAAAAACTGAGATGCTCTTACAAGCTTTTACCTGTTAACATTACAGTTCATCTCTCAAAGTCCTGTTAAAGTGGATCATTCACGTCATAGGTATGGAATTTACTTGATCTAGAATTTGAACTCCTATGATTAAGGAGACTTTTTTTTTTTTGGTGATATTCTCTTATTAAGCGTCTCACCATTGACATTAAAGTGCATATCTCAATTCTATCCAAAACAGATTATCCATATCAAAACTAGGAGATAAACGAAAATCTTATCATTCATATCAAAACCATGAATTTAACTCCACATAATCTAATTTAAAATTTGAATCCAAGTGATGGAGACCGTAAACGAAAGAGCACATGGAAATATTTTATATGGGGTGTGCAATGGAATAGTATAGCAATAATTAGGGAGAGGACTGAGAGGAATATATTATCTGCCAAAAGCTTTAAGGTTAAGCCAATTAGCCAAAGGAATTGTGAGTTTAGCAACTATTCAGTCAAATCAATATGGTCTTGATGCGATAGCACTTTTATCTGCTTGCTTTGCTCTTCTTCTTTTTTATTGTTTCGTGGGTGTATTTTGAAGGATATTGTCTGAGTTGATTTTTCGATTGCCATGCCTCATCTTAAATAAGTGAGGAGAGGAGCATGGCCAGAGAATTTTTTTGGTAGTTGAGTTGCTAGATCCATTCACGGCTCTGGTCCTATTTCAACTGGTACACGCAAAAACTGAGGCTAAAAATTGTTGAAAAAGATGGTGTCCTCCTTTTTTCCTTCATCTTCTTTAATATATATATATATATATATATATCAACAAATAAACACACCAACGTGTGGGAGAAACTCATGAAGGACTTACCGTGCACGCACCATGCTCCATGAGCCACGAGCCAGGCAATCGCTAGATAATTGAGGCATGAGCAACGCACGAGACCTGCTCTCTCTTCTACTTGCTTCGAATTCAAGGCCCGCTGCCTCTTCTACTTCGCGAATTGTTGGAGCAAAAATAATTAGCTAGATTTGAAAAGCTTGTTTTCTCCCCTAATTGGGAATACTTTTCTACACACTTCTGAAAGTTTCCTCTTTTACTAATGGACTTGAATTTATGAACAGTGCAACTGTTTGATTTGAAAAAAAAAAAAAAAGGAGGTAAATGTATGTGAAGAATTGTTTTTTTACTTTCGAAAAGTCCAAAGTAACTCCTCGTTGTCATTTGGAAAGGCAAAAACATTGAAAATCTTACAGGAAAGGCCCCTACCAATTAAACAAAGCACTTTTCAACAAAGTCAAAAAAAAAAAACCAGAAAAGAAGGAAAGAAGATAGGTTAGGTTTGGTTTCCATTCATTTTGTCACTTCCTAGTCCCTCGCTGTTAAGCTTTCTCATTTCCACCTTAGTTTTACTGTATCTTTGCTAAGACTCAGTCTCTCCCTCTCTTTGACAATTCCAGAGTGAAATCCTCTATTTGTGACAACTGTCACGATTTAGGAGCTCTCCTCTTGTTCTCTTCTCTTTGTGTTCCTTGTCCTCGCCACTTCCTCTCCCTTGGACTCTCTATATAAAACGCACTTACCACCTTTGAATCCCATCATGCACGATCTTACAAGCCAACCAATAATGATGATTGATTCAAGCCCACCTCTTCTACACCATTATGGAGAGCTTACACGCCTCCCACCCCAAATTCCTACACTTGAATGCAATGACCTCCCAAGTGGTGCTGTTGTCATGAAGGAATATTGCCAACTCCCATTGATAGACCTCAGTTGTCTAAATAGCACCAATGAAAGGGAACGGCTAGCTTGTGCTGAGGCTATATGCAGAGCTTCGTCGGAGTGGGGATTCTTCCAAGTAGTGAACCACGGTATAAGCCCCGAGCTAGTTCGGAATATGAGGAGGGAACAATTCGAGTTGTTCCAAACACCTTTTGATAAGAAGGCTACTTGTGGGGTTTTGAACAACTCTTATAGATGGGGAACCCCAACAGCTACTTGTCCAAGGCAATTCTCTTGGTCTGAAGCTTTCCACATTCCTCTCTCGAGAGTTTCTGAGCAAGCTTGCTATGGGGAGTTTAGCTCTTTAAGGTACTACTCTATTTTCGCTATGTCCTAATTTGGTCTCTCCACCAGTTTGCCTCTAGAAATAAACTTGAACAGTACAGCTCTTGACTTGCAAAGCCTACGTCCTTGACTAGCTCTGTCATCTTTTTCTCATAGACAGTCACCAAAACTTTAACGTTTGGTTTCAATTCAATCTCAAGTCTAAAAGAGTTTCATGCGCTCTTCTCCCTACATGGTCAGGAAAAAAAACTTCATTTTCCCAAGTGTACAACCCCAAGCACCATGTTCTAGTCCCCGTGTTTTGTTACCACCTACAACGTAACCAAGCAATTAAAATATAAAGTATCTTGATTAGCTTCAGAAGCCTTCCTAACAGCCACTGAAATCACCGTTTCTTCTAAGATGCCTATGTAATTATCTGGTAGCTAGTTTCGAATTAACTTGATGGCTTGTATCAACAGGGAAGTGATGATGGAATTTGCAGCAGCAATGTCAAAGCTAGCAAGGGTGCTGGCAGGGGTCCTGGCAGAAAATCTAGGCCACCCAAGAGGAGTGTTTGACAACATTTGTCAAGAAATCAATTGCTTTCTTCGGTTGAATCGCTACCCGGCCTGCCCAATATCCTCAGAGATTTTTGGCTTGGTGCCTCACACTGATAGCGATTTTCTAACAATCCTTTCTCAAGATGAAGTTGGAGGGCTGCAACTTATGAAAGATTCCAAATGGGTAGCTGTAAATCCGAATCAAGATGCTCTTATCGTCAACATTGGAGATCTTTTCCAGGTAAAATTCAAATTCTATATTCAGTTCTCATTAGCCTGCATTTCAAAGCTAAGATTAGACAGAGTGTCCCATGTAACTAATTAAAAAATGCCGAATTGCCTGCTTTTGTTCGTGGACGTGGACATGAAGACTCACAGCAACGATAATATTCTGATGATTGTTATTATAATTGTACATCAACCCAACCCTTGTGCTACCAGCCTAGTTCATCGTATTTTGACATATAATTTTTGTCCGACTTGCCTAAGCCAACCTCGTTATTGAATTTGAAATCCTAGAATATTATAAAGTTCGCATCTGATGTTGCATATGATTGTTAATTTGTCTACTGTAAATGCGAATATCAGGCATGGAGCAATGATGTCTACAAGAGCGTGCAGCATAAAGTCGTGGCTAATGGAAAAATGGAGAGATATTCAATCGCCTACTTTCTGTGCCCCTCTTATGACTCATTGATAGGCAGCTGCATGGAGCCTTCTATATACAGAGAATTCACTTTCGGAGAGTATAGGAGCCAAATCCAAGAAGACATCAAAAGAACGGGCCGTAAGATAGGCCTTCCAAGATTTCTACTTTAACACATATCGTCGATAAAAAAAGATGTTCAGCGTTTAGGTATCAAAACACAAAATCCGAAGCAGCTGAATAGAAAGGCAGGAAAGAACTAAACCAAGGCAGTTTGATCAAAAAGACCGAAGTCCACCAATTGTCACATATGTTCATATTGACTCGTCATTGACTCAAACAAGAAAAGGAGAAATATATATATATATATATATATATATATATATATATAACATGTATGTATATTTATTATGCATGTTGAAGTCGAGTCTGATTCTGCTAGTTTGTGCATGGATGTGGTCAAGGATGGAGCTAAGAATTTTTTCTGTCCAAGACTATTAAATAAATATATAATTTTTAAAAAAATTAATTATTAACTCATGTACATAAATTTTTAAAGTTAACAATAAAGTTTTAGTTCAAATACATTACCCAAAATATTAATAAATAAATTTGAAAGCATATAAAATTAAAATGAAAGTAAAAATAAACCCACTATTAAAGTTATATCCTTTGATGTTTTGTGAATTATAATTCTTCTATAATCAAATCTGAATTGATAGTGTAACAACCTCTTAATCGAAATAAAATAACAATCTCATGTCAACTAGAAAATAAAATAATTAAAATTTTTTCCTCTCTCAATTCCTCCTTCCTTCACTTGATTCTTCTTTATATTAGTGTTTTATAAGTTTGATTTTGTAATTTTACAAGGTTATTCTCTCACCTTTTTTTTCTTAGATTTTTTTATATTTTTTCTTAAAGTTATATCCTTTGATGTTTTGTGGATTATAATTCTTCTATAATCAAATCTGAATTGATAGTGTAACAACCTCTTAAACGAAATAAAATAACAATCTCATGTCAACTAGAAAATAAAATAATTAAAATTTTTTCCTCTCTCAATTCCTCCTTCCTTCACTTGATTTTTCTTTATATTAGTGTTTTATAAGTTTGATTTTGTAATTTTACAAGGTTATTCTCTCACCTCTTTTTTCTTAGATTTTTTTATATTTTTCCCTTTTCTCTTTTTCTCTATCGCCCTTTTCTTCTTCTTTTTTTCCTATTCTGTTTTTGCTCAGTCGACAACATATAAAAAAAAAGAGTTGATTTGTTTTATTTTTTTAATGGTAAATAATCATTTTACCCTTAATGAGTCGTTTTACTTTTATTTGATGGTTTTTTTTTGTTAGCACTACTAAATTATGTTCATTCTAAAATTTTAACTAGATTTTATTCAATATATTTTAAGATCCCTTATAAAATTTCAACTCAATCTGATGATCAAATTGAAAATTACTTCTAATAACGTAAAACTAGTCAAATTGTAATTTTTCATTAAATTTTTGAATATCTCCAAAAATTTTGAAATTTTAACCTAAGCTAGTGTATCATATTAAAAGACTCCATACAAATTTTCAGAATTTTTTAATAACTTAATCAAGAATTATAAAATTCTTTTAAATAAAATTAGTTAAAAAAATATTAATAAAATTTTAACCTAAACTATAGCACACCCAAACCTTTAACTTCAACTTGCCTCCGCACCTTGGATGTAGTTAAGCCCTTGAGTTTATTCTTCAGTTTGTTAAGCAAAGGCTCGGACCCGAGGAGACCATTCCAGAAATAGTTCAATAAATTGTTCAAGATCTTGTAACCAAGTGGCCCATCAACGGCCCACTCTTATAAGTGATTTTATTGCTTGGATTGACGAGCCTCCCCTAGAGGGTTGCTCTCTCCTAGTTAAGATTGTACCAATTTGTACTAGCTACCTTACGAATCTATATATATTGCTGCATATGTAGAACAGAAAAATATCGTGTTTCCTTTTCTTTTTCCTATTTTATATCATCTTTCCTGTGTGCTCCAAGGCTTAGATTATGAAAGAAAATCTAGGAGTACTGTTGTGGTAGTGGTAGAGCCTTAGAGGCTTGGACAACTGAAATTGAGATTGCCAAGATCACATATGCAATATGGAATATTTAGGTGTGAGGTTACCATTTCAAGTTAAACAAACACCATCATTAAAGTGGAAAATTGGGTCTGCAGAGGGGAAAATTCAAGAAAGGGGAAAGACGCCTCCAATGATTTTGACTAGAACACTTTCTGGCTGCAAATAACCATGTCTAAAGTGGAAATCACTAGTGTTTTAAACCATAGATACAGCCTATCTGAAAACATGAACCACATTCCCATGTACATCAGTAACAGCTGTGCTCGTACTAGCACTGTCCTGACCATGCTTCCATATTGCACTTTGTTTCAGAGTGGGAAACTTTTACCTAAAAAATTAGTTTCAGGCTCTGCCAATCTAAATTTGAGCATCTTCATATGGCGTTTTCAAACTACCCTGATTTGCACCTGTTAACTAACAATAATGCTCTCTCAAAGCTTTTCATGAATGACTTATATAGAACGCCGTGGCTTTAACTTCACAAGAAGCCACTACACCTTTTCTCTCTCAGCAGCAGGCAAAAACAAATTCTCCATGCTTGTCCTTGAATCATGCCACCCATTATTATTTATGTACTGCGAAGGCCTAAATTAATCATAGCCTTTTAGGTGAGAATGATCGAACTACAACTAGGTGCCGTTCACAACTTTTGTGATGAATAGAACCTCTGAAAACCTCGTCCCTGAGCTTTATCAACAACCAATCATTTAGAGTGCACTCAAATCCAAACTGCCTATAGCCCTCAAAAAAATCCTGCAAATATGCTTCATCTCAGGAGCACAATCCCACTTTTGCTCTTCTCAGACTCAGGCCATCACTTTGTTTCAAAGGTGCTGATTATAGCAGCAAAATATTGTTAAATTATCCTTTTAGAGATTGTTTTCTAAAAGAAAAGGAGGCAGATCTGAATAGGATTAAGAGGCAAGCTTTGTTGTCTAACCTTAACGAGGGAAGAAGAAATCAATTCAGTACGGTGACCATCTAAAGAATTACCTACTCACAGGTTCATACCAGACTGCAGTGAAAATCAAGAAGTTGTTCTTACATCCAATAAAGAGTCAATCAAGCAACACAAATAATCGCAAAAGAAAAGATCATGACCAGTTACACTAATAGTATATAAATAATTTACCTCTAAAATCAGGCAATTCACCATCCATCTGAGATCCCTTCTGCATGCACCATCTCTCATTGTTCCTCCAAGGCCCCAAATGCCCTAGTAAAAGCTTCACTGATTCAAATATATAGTTTGTGACCTACATGTCAAGGTCCTAAGGACATGGATAGAAGTGTGTGTGTGCATGAATGAGGTCCAGATAAGATTGCCACCAAAGTAAATGATTGTAGGCCAATCCTATACTAATCAACTTGACATTCATGCATTATTTTTCAGCTATCTTGCCATGCAACAAGCCTGGAATTTAAGATTGCAAGCAATCCTGTGTTTTTCATGGAATCTCATATTCCCAGGAATGTTATTGTGATGAATACTTCTAGACAATCTCCATCCAATGTTCTTTTACAGGCTTGAGAAGGAATATTTGGATTACAAGATAGTAATACCATATTTAATCAGAATCATGACACATCCTGACAGATCAAAAAACAATATAAATTAGACAATAACTTCATTGAGCATTCAAAGGCTTTGGGATTCCTAAGATGGTGGCATAAATGCAAGTCACCAATGCCAAATCATATTGTTATGTATGAACAAAGCTGTGGTCTAGCTCAAAACAGAAGTTAATTCTACAGTTGAAGACAGAAAACTTCATAACAAGTCAACAACCAAGTACCAGCTCTAGTAGAAATACAATCCTTTTATAATGATAATTCACAAAATACAGACAGGACTGTTATACGCATTCTTCAGTAGTTTCTACCATTTTTCATGTAAACATTCAGACTACTGAATAAAAAAAATGTCAGCAGAAAAACAAACCTGGGGAAATATCATCTGTAGTGAAGAGGTGATGGAAGTTTCCAGAGATTGCTTGCTTGATGGAAACAAATTGAGAGTATCACAGTAGCATCTCAATATTATGGCTTCCGGATAATTGATGGCTCCCCGTTAAGAAATTTGGATCTTTCAATCAGTCAAGCAACAAGGTAACCTTGTCTTTGAGAATGCTCTTCTTCATCGGGGGCGCCATTCCTCCTCCAACATCATTCTGACTTTTCTTTTTCCGCTCATATGCAAAAAAAATCCATATCCTTTGTTACAAATTCTGTCATCTTCCATCAGCTTCTTAAGCAAGGGACACAAAAACAGATCCAGCATATCATGTGCAGTATCCCCTGTCCTACTTGTGGAAATGATATTTTGTTCACTTACTAAATTCAGAGTTGAACTATAAGAAGCAGTGTTTCACAGCTAGCTGATATATGTTCGTCATCAGGAACAATGAGAGACTCTTCTAAATCATGCTTAGAGGAAGTTGCTGTTGTCAGTTGTCTTTGTAATTTACGTTCTCTACTTTATGTTTGCCTTTTCCTTGAATCCTCATCAACTTTGACATGCTGCATATAGATCATACCGTCTTGAGATCTTTTCACTCAAGAATATTAAAAATAAATAAAAACAGAAATTACTTTGTAAGAATCTTCGTACCTACCCTGGGATCAATCACCAAACACACCGCTTAAGCCCAGAAAAGAGTGTATCTTTAACGACACTTATGTTTCTTGATTGTGATTAAATATGATGAAATAGCAATTCAAGTTCACAAGTCGCTGTTGGCATGAACAATCATGCTATCCATCATCAGAATGGCTTCCGTTTTAAATGAAATTCTTCAACAATTCTTTAATTTGTAAAACATGGCATGCCACATTGCATTACATCCATCTTGAGTAGTAAATGAATCACCTCACCTCTTCGGCAATGCTTACTAAATCTTCATTTGACAGCTCCTCCTCTGCCTTACTTTTTGCTTTTCGCTTTCTCTTAAACCGATTTCTCGTTTTCTAGTTTATGACACTGTCAGTATCATCATTCAACTCTTTATTATCTGTATCTTGGTTTCCTTTCCTCCTCTTGGCTTCAAGTTTTGAATTCTTCGCCAAAGTCTTCTTCTTCTTCTTCGGGCTCGGCAGTGTCATCACAGTGCCTCTTCTTATTCTTCTTCTTCTTCGTATAATTATCATTGTTAGCAATTACACAAACACCGAGATCCAGTAGGTAAACGCCGTGGACTTTCCTCAACCATTATCTCGTTCTTTAGCCCTGGAAAAAAAAACAAAGAGATTCCGATTTCAAAATATTACTTGATCAGTATCCTCGGATTCACAGATTCAAAAGAAAATTCAAAGAGATTCAATCAGAAAAATCACATACCAGTGATTTGATGTATCGCCCCAAAAAAGAAATGAGCTTTGGAGGAAAAATGATATCCCACCAAGAAAATTCCACGATCCAATCAGAATCTTGCCTCGGTTTCCTTCCGTTTTCTATTATCAGTTGGATACTAGGATGTTTTATGAAAAGTTACGCTCTAAGATGGAGTTTGAAATGGTGGTAATAGTGGTATTTTATAGGGATTTTTACTAAAATATATTAAAATAATATTTTTTTATTTTTAAAATATTATTTTTTATATCATCTCATATTTAAATATTAAAAAATATTAAAAAATTAATTTTAAATTATACAAACATTTCTTAAAACACCTCCCGTGTTTATTTTGGTGGTTACTTCTACTTTTGAAGCAAACCATAAAAAAATCATGTGATAAATTATAAAATATAATTTACTGTTTAAAGAATCCAATATTATTTGTGTTTAAAACTCAGATTAATTGAGAGCAGTTTCAAGCTACTTTTTTTTTATACCAACTGTAAAGAGTTAATTAATTTATTGTGCACTCTTCACATTAACAGTAAAAAATATCTTCACTGTTTATGGCTAGTTTGAATTTAATCCAAACCTATAAAAGAATCAAAAAATTATTAAAGGATAAAATCTATAAAAAAAATAAAAACTTAATGGAAAAAAGGATGAAAAAAAGAAGAGATAACTCCTTCATTGTAGGTTTTACCCCTGTACTTAATATAAGAAATAATTTAAACACTATATTGAAGATTGAGGGCTTGACTTCATTTATTTGTTTTTACCTCATTTAAAACAAATGCAAGTGGATTATAAATCAGTATATCTAGTTTGAAAAACTGGTTAGATAGTTTTTTTAGTTTTAAAAACTAATTAACTAGCCTTGTTCATTCAATTCATGTTTTGTTTTTCATTTTTTAAATAGAAAAAGGAAAAAAAGTAAATATATGAAACGATTAATGAAATAAAAAAATCCTTCGAGTAAAATAATATTAATTTAACCATGATTGAAATTGTTTAGAATTTTAATTAATTAATATTTTAAACTAGAAGTATCATCTAATTTGCTTAACAAAACTAAACGGGATCATTTATGATCTACTAACCAAATGCTAGGAATAGAGCATCTAAGTATAAACTCTTGATAGATATCACTGGCCGCCACCACCAATGCAAGTACAGCAAGACTGTGTAGAATGTAATATTTTGTTTGTTTAATAGAAAATAATTTTTCAAAATAATTTTTAAAATTTGTATGTTTTTGTTTAACCTTATGAAAATTAATTAATAAAAAAATCAACTTAATTTTAGAAAATTATTTTATTTTTATTTAGAAGTTATGAAAGTTTTAAAAATATATTATTATTTATTAATTATATCAAATTTAATCTTTAATTTTTTTATTGTTATATATTTTTTATTGTAAGTATTTGTTTTATTCAATCTCACTATGTATTTTGTTGATTATCTTAAATTTAATTTAATTTGATTTTTATATAAATTTGATTTTTTAATTTTTTATTATTTATTTTTCTTTTATCATTTTATTAGTTAAAAAAATTTATCTATCATATTTAATTCATATTCTTTTAATTTCTATTTATTTATATTTAAAATAATTAATGAAATTATATATTTTTTAATTTCATTATCTTTTAACTTTTTTATATGTTAAATTTAGTTTTTATTATTTTAGTTTTTATTTATTTTATTTAAAATAATTTATAAAATTATTTTTTAATTTAATCCTCTAACTTTTTTATCTATAAATACTAGTCCTTGTTCTTTTAATAAATTTTTTAAAGAATACAAAATTACTGTTCAGTTTATTTTTTATAACTTAGCTAAACATTAAAAAATATTTTTTATTTTATTTTTTATGATATTATTAAATATTAAAAAAAATTACTTTGTAATAATTCACTTAAAAAAGAAACTATCCTCTAAAAGAAAAACTATTCTAACGCAAACAAACATGACTAGGTAAAAATATCCCTTTCTTGCGAACTGAAAATGCAGCCTGCAAACCTCTTTTTAACTCGAACATCTACAGGGTCTGAATTTATTAACAATATACTAAAAGGCGTGGGAAAACTACTGTAGCTTTCCCACGCCTTTCACTTTTTTATTTTTAATATATTACATTATTATAATTATTATATTATATTATAATCATATTCCCATCTTTAATATATTATATCGTATTATTATAATATATACTAAAAATTAAATGAAATGTTAAATTGATTGTTTTTTAATTTTTTTGTAGTTTTTCTTTTAATAAATTTTTTTTATCCTAGATTTGATGGGTTAGCCTGATTTAACGAGTTAATTTAATTTTTTTTTAATTAATTTTTTTATTTAGTTTAGTTTGTTAATGTTAAATTTTTTTATATTTAATTATCAGACTTTCATGACACGTATTTCAGGCTTGACGGGTTAACTTGGTTTGATGGGTTAATCCAGTTAATTTTGGGTAAACCCGTTAATTATTTTATTCTATTTGGTTATCAAACTTTCATGACACGAATCCTAAGTTTGAGAAGTTAATTCAGTTAATTTAAATTATTATTTTTTCATTAGTTTTTTCTTTCTATTGGTTTTTTTTCTTTGTTTTTTTAATTAATCTATTTAATTATCATACTTTTATGACACGAACTTGTAACCAAACCCACATCTAATACTTCAAGGTCTGGTGTTGCAGCTAGGTTTATTTAAACTTAAGCAATGTAAGTTTAATATTATTATTAATATTATAAATAGTATTCTTGGATCAAGCGTTGTTGTAGTTAAATCCAAGGTTTTTCAGTGTATTTTTGCAGAAAAACCTAACACTTTTAGATTTTAGTGTTTTTTTTTTATATTTTTCATGCAAGAAAAAAAATTAACCTGTGACGTATGCCTTTATTTTTTTTTCTTTTCTTTTTAAAGCTTTTTACCGTGAACAGCACGGTACAATCCAGAGTGAAAAAACTTATGCTTTTAGTTTATTTTTTTTGTCTATAGTTTCTTAATGTTAAAGTTTTTCTATTTAATTATCAGGCTTTCACGAAACGAATCTCGAGTTTGATGATTTAACCAAAATAATTCAGATTTTTTTCTTTTTTTCATTAGTTTTTTTTCCTTCCTGTAGGTATTTTTCTCTTTGTTTTTTCCCTTTTAATTAATCTTTTTTAAAAAATTTAGCTCATTAATATTAATTTTTTTTTATTTAGTTATCACACTTTTATGACACGAATCCTAGGTTTAATAAGTTAACTTTATTTGACGAGTTAATTCAATTGATTCTGATTTTTTTTCTTTTTTTTATTGGTTTTTTTAATTAATCTATTTAATTATCATACTTTTATGACATGACCTTGCAGTCAGACTTATATCCAATGATATTATGTCTGGTATTGCAACCAAAACCATTTAAACTTGAGTCATACATATTTAATGTTATTATTAATATTATAAATATTACTTTTAAGTTGGAATAGTTAAATTCAAGACTCTTGGATATAAATTTGCAAAAAAACTTAATATTTTTAAATTTTAATTTTTTAAATATTTTTTATACAAAATAAATTGACCCGCAACATCAGGGTATATAACTAATATAATGCGAGAGTGCGTGCCTGCATGCGTGTGTATAATTATATATATAATGCCTATGGGCTAGAGCTCCCATAGAGAAGATTGTTGGTACAGCATCAGCACTTCTGATTTCTTTGTAAATTCAATCACAAAAAATACGAGGAAAATATACATACATCTCGATAATACAAATTATAAAATGTTTGGAAATGCATTCCAAAATATATTTCTGAAAAAAATTAATTTTTTTATATTTTAGATTATTTTGATATACTAATTTTAAAATATTTTTTAAAAATTAAAAAAAATATTTTAATATATTTTAACATAAAAAATATTTTAAAAAATAATTATAATCTCATCCCAAACAGTTGATGCTGACGATACGATCATCGTGTAAGCATGATCATAAGCCAAAAAACTGTTTTAACGTCAAGAGATTTTAAACACGATATCAGTCTCAATATCTCAGGAACAGGCAAAAGGAAGAGGTCTAGAAAAGAGATGCAGCCCGAATTGAAATTTGAATTCAAGCTTCTCTTTATCCACTGCCATAGTGGCGTGGGAATTCGAGGATTAAAAAAAAAACCAAGAAAAAAAATAAATAATTAAAAACTTAACAAATGACACTACACCGCTATTAGTAGGCGGTAGACAAGCAACCACCCAGAGTGTATTATAGCCATGGACAGAGCCCTAAAGCCGATTAGATCCCTCTGCTTCCTCTTCTTTACTGAGAAAATCTATTATAGCTACAAGATTTCGCTATAGGAGTATACACAAAACAAGGAAAATGGCATTATTTACAGCAGCATCCACGACACGGTTTTCTTCTACAAAGCAGCAGTCTGTCCACTTCAACAGCATTGACGGTCCAATCCCCACTCATAGCACGAGGGCAAATTTCCCACAAAAAAGAGCAATTGCTATGTCTACGAATCTCGCTGTTAAGGCTTCCTTCACCAAGGGAGGTACTGGAGTCTTGGAACGCCCCACTTTTGATCAATCCCAGTTTGACCCTTCTTCTCAAGCTCTCGAAGGTTTCTCTCATTTTCTTTCTTTATTTTCCCATATTTTCTCTTGGCTTCTTTTTTGTCAAATGTAATTTAATCCAATACTCCATGACAATATAACGCCTAAACGAAGGAGATAGTGTTTCTTGACGAGATTCGGCGATTTTATTTTATTTGTGAATGATGCACTTGATTTTTCATAATAGTAGATTTTGCCATTTTTTCGCCTTGAGCCCTTTGCTTACCCCCTCCTCATCCGATTGGTAAAGAAACATTAAAAACATCTCCTTGTCTACATGATAATGTTTTGATTTGCTCCCCATCTTGCTAATACTGTTGCTTTGTGCCTTTTTTTTTTCCTCCCTATTTTGGCTGAATTCAAGCATATTTTTGCTAGCATTCCTGTAATAGCTAGCATTCATGAAAGTGTTGGTGGATTATATTGCTAGTTTTTGGATTGTTTATTTGGTTTCTCTTTGTCGAAACAGGAGGGGATATCGGACGACTAAGGGATAAGAGAGGTGTTGGGAGTGGAGATAGCTATAGAGTCTTGCTAATTGATGATATTCGTCATTCTGAAAGGCT